ACGAGCCGTCCTGCCCGAGGCGGGGGCATGCGGTCGGAGGGCCCGGCCCCCCCAGCTGTCTGCAGGCCTCGCCGTTCTGCCAGTGCGGCTTTCGGCGCTGTTTATTTTTGCAAGCACAGGAAATCCTGTTGTCGCCTGAAACTGGGGCTGGCGTGCGGCCTCCTGCCTTACACCAGACTCTAGCTCTCGCTCCTGGCTGCTCCCCGCGTCTCCCAGCCTTGCAGGCATCCCCTGTGGGCCGGCTGCGGGCTGGGATGATGCAGCTTCTCGTGCTCCCAGCGCAGGAAGCACGTGGCAGCCGCGTGGCAGCAGGATGTGGGCAAACACCAGGCCCAGCTTTTCCCCCCCCAACCCCACCTGCAGCCAAGCTCCACCAATAGCCCCTGTGCACCTGTGCTATGGCACCCGCCGGACCGGGGAACGACCCCCCAAGACCTGCCCCGAGGGCATCTCCGAACGAGGGGCGAAGGGAGCCCGACCCGGTGCACACCAGACGCAGGGGGCCACGGGGCTCTCGTGACTCTCTTTAATCTGCATCACAATGTAAAGGACATCCAGTGGGGGTGTGCACTGTACAAGGAAAGTGCCGGGGGTGCGGGGAGCGCGCGGGAGCAAGGGGGTGCGCCCCCAGGGGAGCGGGAATGTCAAGGTGCTACATGGCCCGGGGTATGTCAGCTAGCGGCAAGCGTGCTCAGTTGGAGGGGGTCGCGGGGGTGTCGTGGCTGCCCTTCCGGTCCCAGTGCAGGTCCCTGATGCGGCGGATGGACTGGATCTGGGGCTGGAAGGCAGACCACTCGTTCCAGTGCCGGAAGTCCCCGCGCTCGAAGAGGTACTGGTAGCCCCTGTAGCCAGGGTACTGGTACCCGACCCAGCTGCAAGGTAGAGCAGAGAGAGCGCGTTGGAGGTGCGGGGAGGGAATCAGGGCAGCGGGGCTGCAACCAGGAGCCCCGGATCAGCCTGGATGGGCCACGAGACCCGGTGTGGACAGCGGGGGTCTACTGGGAGTCCCCGACTTCTCTTCCCACTGGGGAGCCCGTGCATCTCGCTCCGTCCCCGGGGACCCCCCACGCCGGTCGGGGCAGCGAGGCGAGCCGGGGTCCGCGAGCCGGGGGTGCTTACGTTCCGCTGGACACCTTGACGCTGCCCACGCGGTCGCAGAAGCCGTAGGCCCACAGGCTGGGCACGTCGTCCTCCTGGATCTCCATCTTGTTGCCCTTGAAGTCGGCGGACTCGAACAGGGTGATTTTATGGTCCTCGGCCTCCTGCAGAAGGCAGCAGAGGGGGCAACCCACTCAGCGTGTGGCATGAGGATCCCCGGGCTGTGTCCAGAGCCCCCCGAGCCGCGACGGTCACAGCGCTGCTATCCTCCGTGCCCGGCGGCCCTTACCATCTTGATGGGGCGCATGGACATGAAGCAGTCGCTGCGGTAGCTGCTGGACCAGGTGTCCCAGCGAGGGTACTCGCCCTTCTCCAAGATGAACATCTCCCCGCGCAGATTGGCTTGCTCGAAGGCCACCCAGCTGTGGGGAGGGGAGGCCAGGGTGGGTGGAGGCAGCTGGGGCTGGGGGAGGGATCCCCGGGGGAGCCCCGTTCTGTCACGCCGCCGGGTTATGGCTAGCCGGGGGCAGCTCGGACGCACAGCCTCTGTCCGGCTGCCTTGGCAAGCCTGGGGTCCCCCCGCATCCACAGAGAGCGCTGGAGACAGCTCTGGCTGGAAGATGCAGGGCCGCGGCAGCGAGGGAGCAGCCTGCACAGGCCTCAGGATGGTTTGAGGCTAGGGGCCGAGCACGGCAGCATGGATGGGCCCCTGTGCTCTCCCCGGGGGGCTCTGGCCCGGCCTCCTGCGCTGCACCCCAGCCCGACTGGGGTCCAGCCAGCTCCCCTCCCCTGGGTCCCGCCCGCGAGCCCCACAGCTGGACGCGGGCGCCACTCACGGTCCAGAGTTGATGATAACGCTGCGCACCCGGTCGAACCCGCGCTCGCCCAGGTTCAGGCACTCAGCCGTGAACTCCATCTTCTTGCCCTGGAAGTTCTCTTGCTCGAAGACGACAATCTGCGGGGAGCGCCGGGTCGGCGTCAGCACAGACAAGGCTGGACCCTGCCCTGCCTGCTTCCTTCTTGCCTGCAGTGCTGGAGGTGCCCCACCCAATGCCCCCAGGCTCTGGCTCCTGCCCCTACCTCATGCCCAGCTCCAGGTTTGCACAGGCCGGGCTCCAACCCCGGGACCGCGGGGCAGGATGCCTCCACCCACCCTGGCTGCAGGCTGGTCCATGACCCCCGCGCAGAGAAGCCCCCTTACGCTGAAGCCTTCCAGAGCAGAGTCTTCTCCTTTGCTGTTGGACACGGGGATGGGGTCTGCGACGGGTGCCGGGGCCAGCACCGCTTTGTCCTTGTCATTGACCGCCTGGCTGGGGGCAGCGGGCTTGGTGGTGTCGGACATGGCGGGGGCGGCTCCGGGCTGGCGAGTTGCGGAGCAGAGCAGGTTAGCAGGCCAGGGGCAGTCCCAGAGGTGCCAGGCGCTGTCCCGCTTGGGGCCTGGCATCCTCCTCCCAGTGCCCCCAGATCCCAAACCCCCTCATCCCCAGACATCCCGAGCCCCCCAGTGCTGGTCCTGCCAGGCTAGTGGCCCCCGGAGCTGGATGGGGGAGGTCAGATGTGCTTGGCACGTGCCCATGGGAAGCCTGTGCCCAATGGTGAGCAGCAGCTAAACCAGGGGCAGAGTGGGTGCCCTGGGAGAAGGGATCCCAGAGCTGGCGTTTGCATTTCCACCCCTCCCTGGGGGCTGTCCTGGGTGACAGCAGAGACACCGTGCGTCCTGAGCCCATCCGGGCTGGGGATCCCGGCTTGCCAGCCTCCACCCTGACGCTAGCTTGAGAGCTCCCCAGGCACGCAAGCATCGCTTGGCTACAGGCTCCTTTCCCAGGGGCTACAAACCTCTGTGCCCACATCTGTTACCCCACTAGCCGGGTAGCCTGCAGCTCCTTTCCCCCCTTGCCCCCTTCCATGGGTGGCTGCAGCCTCGTGGCAGCGGTGTCCTCCCTGCCCTGCCAAGCGGGGAGGCTGTGAGTGTGCGGAGGGGCGTGAGTGCATGCGTGCATGCGTCCCTTCCGCTGGCTGAGAGCGTGGGCCTCGCACTCCGGGTGCTCTGGCCCTGTGCTCGGGGAGCTGCCTCTTCTTACCTGGGCAGCTGCTGCGTCGGGTGGAGGGAGCGGGCTTGTGTTTGGGGGTGCCACGCGGGCCCCACTTTATAGCCTGGCAAGGCCAGGCCCCGGGCTGGCGCACAAAGGAAGTGCTAGCTCATCAGTGTCTGCCCCGAAGCTCCCAGTCATCACATCTCCCAATACGGGCAGTGAGCCGGAAGCCTGGCCCAGGGCCCCAGCACAGCTGCTGAGCCCAGCATTTCCATTGTGCGCCCTGGGCACAACAGAAAGGCCTGACAGAGACACTTTGCACCCAGCCCTGGAGGCCTATTGCCCGGAGCGTGGACGCCCGGCCAGGCACACGCCCAGCCCCCCGGCACCAGCACCCCCCAAGGCCTCTCCTGACCCCGCGGCTCGTCCTCTAGGCCCCTCCATGGAGCTGTGCAGGTCCCAGTCCCATATCTCGTCTGCCCGTGACGTGGAGCCGGGGTTAAATCCTGGCACAGCTGTGCAGAAGCTGGCCCACCAGTGAGACGCAAAGGGTTAAGTCTGCTGGGGTGGGTGGATCCCACTCTCCCCATCACTTTCTATTCCCTAGCAGTCAGCTAGCTGGCTGCTAAACCATTACATCTATGCCACCCTAACCAAAAAGCCATGTGGTACCAGGTCAAACCCTCTATCAAAGGCTCAGGACATGGTGTCATTGCTCTTTCCGCAATCCACCTCACCTGTGCTGTCCGCCAGACAAAGCATCAACTCATGCTCCTCATCATTGACTGCATTGCCCTCTTTTAATTGCACATTAATCAAATCCCCTATCAGCTGTTCCAGGATCCTCCCAAGATCCTCCCAGAGGCCTGTGAGACAGACGGGGATTTTCAGTCCAGGCATCAACTTAACTCTTTTCAGACACTTTCCTTCAGGTCTCTGCAGCTTCTCTAGTATTTGTAGATGCGCTGGAAGTCAGTTGGTCCAGAATGCTCCTTGGCCAGCTCTTTTAAAACTCTTAGATGCACTCGTAGGTGGACCTGCTGATTTAAGCATGCCCTGCTGGAGCAGCTGCTGTTTCACTTCATTTGTAGCTATATCTGGAATAGAAAGTAGGAGGCCAGCGTATGATGTGACTACAGCATCACCTCCCCGTCACATATATACGTAAGTATTGATCGAACACTTCTGCTTTTTCTGCATTTTTATTGACAGTTCTACCAGGCCCATCTCATATTGGACTCAATCGATTCCTAATGTCCTTCAAAACATCTTTTTATTGTCTTTACTTTACTGCCCATAGATTTTTCCTTGCGTCCTTTTCCTTCCCTTATCAACTTCATACCTTTCCCAGCTTTCCATTTACATTTGTGGCTAACCACCCCTTCACTTTTTCCATTCTTTTTATAGATATTTCTCTTTTTACAGCTGCTTTTACTTCCCTGCCAAGCCAGCCCTGTCTTTTTTAACCACTGCAGCCTTCTGTCTGAACGGGCAAGGGGGGGGTTGGCAGCAAATCAAATGTTCTCGAGCAGATCCCAATTAGGCTCTGATTTTTCTGTTGACATTTCTGTCTCTCGCCTGGTGCAGCTCATAATTGTTTTCAGCTTTGCTAAATTGGCCTCTTCAAGGGCCTGAGCGCACATGTTCCTGAGCTGGACTTTATCCTGTTTGCACATCCGTGTCATCAGGCCGGGATGGCTTGCACCCCGGCAACCACGGACATCCCCTTCCAAGATCGATTGCCCGTTATCTGTGCAGACGAGGTCTCATCCAGAACACCCCTGAGCTGGATGCGGCCCTGAATGAGGCAGGCAATGGTCACCTCTCCGTGTTAGAAGTGCAGGGGGTTACTTGGGTGCTGGCTTTGTGCATGCATCTGAGCCTGCCTGACATCAGTGCTTGTATGCAGGCCCACAAAACAGCAGGGGCAAATCTGGAAATCTGGCTGTCTGCCTTCCCCAGCGTGCCCCAGCGCAGAGCCAGACTCGTGCTAATCACTCTAATCCCCCCAAACGCCCCCCGTCATCTGTGCCAGACGTGCAGCTGCCAAGCCGGGAGTTGTTGATTCGCAGCCGAGGGCACGGGTGGAAAGGAGCAGAGGTCTGGACACGCGCCGTCCTGGCAGTGCTGCCCCTCCCAGCCCCCCGTGCATGGTCCCACGGGGCTGGGACCTGCCTGCCGGTCTGTGGTCAAAGGGGTGATGGTGGTGGATAAGACAAGTCCAAGGCAGCGGTCACTAGGAAGCTCGTGGCTGCAGCAGGGGGTGTCAGAGCGGTGCCCCCCAAGTGCTCAGCCCGCCCCTGCTCCCTGCA